ACATGAAATTTCAATTTACCGAATCTTACGCAAAATTACACAAAATTACGTAAATTACCGTAATTTTAACATCCCTATTGGGGATTCTAGATCCCTTACTTTATTGAAATTGATAATTTATTTACGATATATTACTAGTTTATGCATTATCTCTGTAATGTGAGATTGTTTCCTTATCGCACCAAAATGCATTCCAAGATTAGTGTTTGTACAAATATTTTATTAAATTTGCATAATTATGTGGAGAAAATCACTTGAAATCTGAAACATAACTATGCTCTCGTGAAGTTTACGACGTTAATAAAATTTTCACATCACTCTGTTCCTATGTTTCAATGTCACCCCGTTACTGATATGGCGTGAGAGTGAAAACCTAGAAGTTGGCGTTTTGCATAATTTCAATAATGTACAATCACTGAAATTACCCAGACGCTGATCATGACTTTTTAGGAGACAAAATATTCACTTCCAGATTTTCACTCTCACGCATGACCAATCATATGACGTTGCTAATAAACAATTACGTATTATGTAGATTATTTAAATGTTTAATTTGCCCCAGCGCAAGAATAAGGTTAGGATCTGCTTTCAGGGCTTCCCTGTGCAGTCTCGCACATATCAGAAATAATTATTTTTGATGTTACTTTAGGATCGGAGCTAATTAAATTTTTACTATATAAATTCTTGATGGGAAAAATTGCATTTTTCAGAAATCATGCGCATGAATACGCATTTGCCCATCTCTACTTGCAACTGTAAGATAATATTAAAATGATGCTTGTTTGTCATACTAATTGTCTCCAAATAGGATTGATTGCGTACATGTTCATACATTTTGTCGTGCTGATGCTTGATGATAGCTAAATTCTAAAGACAAACAAAAAAATTCATTCGCGTATATACGTGCATACATACGTATGTAGTCATGCTATACAATATATTTGCTATAATAGTTGTTAATTCAACTATTTACAGTAATTAGTATCATTTCGTATGCGTGTAGTGATCAATATATTTTCTTCACAATACCCAAAAATTGCAAGTCATTAGACAGTAATTGTTTAAAAAATCACAAATTTCCTTGCAGATAATCTGAATTGACTTTATATACGGAATTTAAATATTCAAATGACAAAAGTTATTTCAGAAAGGCAACTGACCATGAAGTTTAAAACATTGTTATACACTTGATTTATAATAAAATGCATTTCGTTATTATTATGCTACTCATTGCAGTTAAAACTTTACAGCGATTCCGTCCATACTATCTATTCTAGTTTCCTAAAATTAATTTTAGCTCCAGGCATTTATTGTTAAAAGTTTTCCTAGTAAGTCCCATGTATGTTAATTATAAATTTTAATTTATTGCTATCAATCTAATCTTTTATTTACAAGGTTTAGATATTAATGAACGCCATTCTTAATATAGGATGTGAATGCAATAAGAATTTTCTGAAAGAAAAAATGGAAAGCGACGAAAGAACTCAATACAGTATTATATCTATATTAATCATATTTAATCAGAATGTTATAAATACATTCCGTATTTGATTAAAATGCACATTAAAACCCTATTGATATCGATATTAAATTAAAATTTTTACAAATACGCCCATATTAGCTTCATCTCATCAATAAAACAACCAAAAAAAAAAATTTCAAAAATGAACAAAAACGTTGCAATCTTCTTCATTTTCCTCTTTTCTACTACAATTTTAATTAATGTTACTTCAGCAACTCCGGTTGATAATTCGAAGAAGAAGCACCATGTGTGTAACGATAAATGTTATTGGGGAAGCTACTCAAAGGAGGGTTACGCGCCATGTCACCCTTACTGCGGTTGCTATAACTCTGAGTGTGTATGTTATTCTGGCTCTTGTAGATGTGTCTGTGGTGATAATCCTGGAGGATTTAATATTCCAGGAAAATAGAAAAGTCAATTGAGATGGAATAATTTATATTTAAGATCAATTTGCTCAAATCATTTTCTAAATCATTTTCATTCACTAGTTTTTATTTATATAAATTTATAAGAAAATCGTATTATTATTAGCCGTTATTTTACTTTGATTATTATATCATGTAATCTTCATAAATTGTTTGACAACAAATATAATAAATAATAAATAAAACGAAGTATATTGGTAACAAACTGAAATAGGTGGTTTGAAGAACAGTTAATCCAATGATCATCACAATATCGAATAACTATCACTCGGTCTAGGATAGGGATAGTTAAAGGCATAGTTTAGGCCAGTCTATTTAATTCTGGGAAACAAATGACGTCATGATATCGTTCCACTGAAATAAACTTCCCTAAAAATTAAAATTTCGATAGCTGAAGAAATAATTAATTGATTTGCGTACATCAGTTTCGTGTAACTTCACGTACATCTTTAGCCAATAAAAATTACTATGCCTTCAAAATCCGAAAATTTCGGGTGCTAGACCTGCATTATCATTGGCCAAAAAAATCGATGTACATTGATTGAATTCAGTATTATATCTCATTTATTGTATTCATTAAAGATGACTAATCTTAATTAAAATTAGCATTATACGGTTGTTATTATAAAATTTTATAAGCAAAGGCTTGACGAAACATGTACAAAATGTTTTAAAAAAATAAGAAACAAATTCAGATGTCAGACAATAATGAAGATGCAATTATTATGTAGACCACGAGATTAAATGATGTCAGACAATGATATGTTGGAAGAAATTATGAAATATCATATAATATGCAAAAAATATCATCTGTATTATATTTTATGCTTCTAACATATTAAAATCTTTTTATTTTCTAAATATTTTACCATCTTTACAACCTAAAAATTTTCGACATACTAAAATTTATAATTTTGACTGTTGAAAAAGCAATATTGGATTTAAAATTATGCCAAAAACAAATATTTTAGAACTTGTGGATAAAAAATCCTCTAACTCTGCGCTAAAAATTTTATTGGCTAAAAAATAAATGCAGTTTGTCAATTCATCTTTTTTTGTTAGAATGTATAATAGAAGTTTTTATGCAAACATCCCAGGTAGGGATTACCTTAGATGTAATTCTTAGTATTTTTGACTTTGAATATGTTAGAAATAACTTTTACTAAAGTTGTTTTAGTTACTGTAAATTATAATTTATTACTAATTAATTATTAAAGTAAAGAAAAGTTTAATTTTTTTTGAAAATATTTAATATATCTAATTTAACACCCTAACCTTAAAAATCATAAAAATATCTGTAAAACATCAATTTAAATGTTAAAAAAAGGTTCAGGTATATTTGAAATAAAATGCAAAGAAGTATAAAACAAATGTAAATAAATATTTGAACATGTTAAATTTGTATAAATTCACATACTTGACATTAATAAGCAAAGATGCAGGAAAAATTATTGCCTTGCAAAATTTTTCAAAAAAAAAAGCATGACGGTGATTGTTATCAGGTTGCATACAAATTTGGAATTTTTGATAACTGGTACCCAGTGAATCATTGTGGACCTTTAATTACCCTGATCTTAATGTAGTTACTTTGAAGAACAATTTCATTACAGTTAAGCAAAAATCTTTGTTACAATATACAAGTCAAATTAATAACAAAAACTCTGAAATAAATGTGTAAATAAATTATTAAAATTAAATAAATATTATTTGCATAAAATTAATTTTTTTTAAAAAAAAATTATAGAAATAATCAAAGACTAACGATGAAATGAATACTCTTTTCATTAAAAAGCAACTAGTTTAAATAAATAAATCAAAAAACGACTGTTATTGTCAAAAACTAATTGCCTGCAATTGTAGAAAAAACAATTTACTATGTTCAAGAAAATGTGAATATGTATTATGAAATCAATATCAAAATTATTATTTTTTCTTTTCTATTGGTTTTTTTCATTCTTAGCTTAAATTCATGTAATCAAAGCAATAACATTTATGCATAAAATTATTTGCAAATCTAAAATTTTTATGTTTTTCAAAATTAAACCGATTGTAAAATAACATATTATTTTTAAATTTACAAATGATATGTGTCAATTTCTAATCAACATAAATCGAAAAATGATGCAGAACATTAATTGAGATTATATATATATGTATGTTAGATTACAATAATTATTGTTATCCTTCTACTGTGATCAATAAAACGTTTATACTGATTTAAAATTAGAAATGAATAATGCTGAAAGTTATAGAAAAAAATTGATGAAAAAATCTATTTGTGCAATTATATAGTCTATTCAAATAGAAAAACTTAATATGTTTTTGATAAAAGTTAAAAATTTTTCGCTCCATAATATTGACTGGTGTTTTCTGCCAAGAGATTTGGATTCACTTTATCGTGGTCGAATGAAATAACTTCAACCTTATTAATTCCAGCTTCTTTCAAACTAATTCCCATTCCATTTATTAAAACAGGAGCTATCGTGATATTATTTTCAATATCAAAAATCGTAGTTGAATTTAACAAATCTGTTGTATTATTGACTTCTTGAGCATGATTATGTATTTCTATCGGTATTCCCAATCGTTTCACAGCTGCCGTAATATCAATAGATTCAACGGCAAAAGTATTATTATTAGCATGAAAATGATTAATATTATGCCACATAGCAACGAGACCAGCAAAATGAGGTGAAGTTATTGGTGTTTGGGCAGTTGCATTTTTCAAATTAACAAATACTCTAATACAATATGGTCCAACTAATTGATCCTCTTCTATAGTCAACTTTACAAAAAATCTGCGTCCATAATAAGGATCAGGTTTATACAGCTTAAGAAGATACGCTTGTAATTTTTTGGGATCTTGACCTTTAAACATCGTCACTTGAGGATACGTATACCCAAGTTTTTCTATATCTCGAATATCTGAAGATTTCCAGAATTCTGCTTTTGTCTTTCGAAATGGTGTTAGATCTGTGTTTTCATCTATCACTGTGTTCATTTCTTCTGTATAAGTTCCTCCGGCATCAATATTTTGTGAAATCCAACTATTAGGAAATCTATATATATACAAAAAAGATTTGTTACATATAATTAAAAATCTATTTATTCAAATAAAGAATAATACTAACACTCCCTGCCAAAGTGCAAAAAGACGATCCATATTAATATGATGGAAAAAAAATAATGGGTCAAATGCAGCTGTGTTTACGTGAGCCATATGACCTCCAAGGCCACCACTTACTACATGAAAGGCATCGTGAATTGTCTCAATGGATGTAAAATGTGCAGATTCAAAAAATGCCGAAGGAGGCGGAAGACCTGAAGACACATTTATCTGTTGTGTACCACGTGTGCTAAAAGGTAGGTAATTGCTAAGATGAAACATTTGATACAACCCAGGTCTAAATACTGTAGAAACATACACGGATAGATCAGCATTTAATATATTATTTTGATCTTCATAATTAGCATTAGGATATCTAATTGTAGGATAACCGGCAGGTGTAAATGGATCAGATGTAATATTTGGAATTATATAATGTGGTTTATCCCATGGATTATGGCCTTTTTCAAGAGGATATGAAAGGTCAACAGGTAAAGTATAACTTTTTAACGGATTTGTAACCTTTTTCCTGCCATTTGGCGTATTTATCTCGATTTCAGGTATTAGAAATATTTCTGGAACTCCTTTTATTGCCTTTTCATCAGCCCAATCCCAATAGGGATGACGAAGTTGCTTTGCCGCTTCAACATACTTTTCTTTTTCACTATCATGGTATTGTAAAGCAATTTTTTTAGCTTCGATAACTATCAAAGATTCAAACAGAAGCATGTATGGCCTATGCCATGTTATAAATAAACTATCTCCATGATGACAATATCCGCCCCAACGACCTTTCGATGATTTATATTCATGCGCATCACCAGTAACTCCATCATAAGGTTTATAAGGCAACCCATGAATACCAGCAACCTGATAAAACGATCGCATATCTTCGTGGGGGCGGTCATACATTGCTTGATAACTTTGAATAAGTAAATCGAAATGTGGTCTATATGTTTCATTGCCATAGAAATCCAAAATATCTAAACGTGGGTATATATCTGGAAATGGTTTGAGAATAACTGGATCCAATATCGGTACATTTCTGTCATGAAAGAATGACAATTTGATGAATGGCTCAATCCCATATTTTTAATATTAGTATATATGTTGTAAATGGAAACGGAATTTACGTGGATTCGGAATTTATATAAAAACCCCATTTTCGGGGCTGATTTTATCATATGTGCACCCTAACCCTAATTTAACTAAGAAATTCCAAATCCATTTAAATTCCATTTCCACTTACGACATATATAAATTACTATTTGAAAATTGAAAAAAACAATCTCACCTTAACACTAAAAATAACACAAAAAAAATAAAAAAATAAATTAAAAAAATAAAAAATAAAAAAACAGTCATCTTTATACTATTCATTATGAAATGCTAAACATATTTTTAAAACTCTATTGTTTCTCGCTTGAATTTGAAGGTGGTACGATTAATTATTAAAACATGCCGTATCTAGAAAATTGTGGCTTGTTTTCATCATTATATGGGTCCGTGAATTAATTTACGGGCTCATCCATAATGTAAACTCTAGAATTGGCCTCAGATACATTATAATGCATAAGTATCCATCAAACAATCTTTATGTAAAATAAAAGTTTGTATATCGAATAAGAACGTGTTCTTTAAATTGAAATTGCTCAAATTAAAGATGCTTGAAATAATCATTTATGTACTTGTTTCATTTTAACAGATCTTGAATAAAATTTCTATGCACATCTCGATTTGCAAAATTAATCAAATTTGTAGATCGTATCACAATATCTAATTATCATTTTGATTGCATGTTGGCTTATCATTTCCTGTCGTTTCTTGCTCACTAAAAATTATTATCTTCCATATTCGAAATCAGACAATGTTTGATTGTATATGTTGTAATTGGAAATGGAATTTACTGTATATAAAAACCATATACGGGGTTGATTTTATCATATGTACACCCTAACCTTATTTATCTAGAAAATTCCAAATCCACTTAAATTCCATTTCCACGTACGTACGTACGACATACCGATATTAAGATATTGGGGTG